GGGTCCCCCTCACCCCACATGGCTCTGCTGGTGCCCCGGAGTCCTGACCCACATCCCCCACCGCCAGATGCTAATATCACGCTGGAATTCACAGCTAAGTTAGGGGAGTTTATCAGGGATCTTTGACAGGCCAGGCACCGTCACAGACATCTCCGGTGCCAGACTGTCCCACCCCACTAGTCCCGCGAGCTGGGCCTTCCTTGTCAAATGCCACCTGGCCAGCTCAACACAACCCCTGGCCCTGCACTCAGCCAGACAGACCATTTCCCCCCCCCAGCCCGGCAGGTCTGTTCCCAGCCTAAAGGCAACAAGCCCCTCCCAGCTCTGGTGGATTCACCATCTCCCCATGGAGGCCACGGCTGGGTCAGCACCATGGTAGAGACAGGAATGGATGCCCAGGTTGAGCTGTGCAAACTGGGGGGCTCACACTGCAGAGCCAGGGACTGAACCCACATTCCTGGAGCCCCGCTCTGGTACCTTAACCCTGCAGCGACCATCCCTCACCCCCCACAGTGCCTGGCACAGACACCTCTGCCCCCGGGCACTGGCACAGAAATACCCACAGCAAACACAGACCTGCACAGCCCCCAGGGTGTGTGCGCGGGGCCCTGGCTGGGGCGCAGACCCCCCTGTTTCCTAGTGGGTTCGGTCAGTGCCGGGTCCAACACCCCTCTCCCCCCAGAAGAGGCAGCTCCCCCCCCTCCGGCTGGCGCCAAGCCCCGCACGCTGCACCCACCTCACTCAGCATCTGGCTTCTCCCTGTGTCAGGCTGAGTCACTTGGACTAATGGGTCCTGTGACCATCCCAGTGTGGGAGGGGTGAATGGCTGCCCAGCCTGCCACACGGGCCTGGCCAGGACAGGGCAGCAAGCACCTCCTGCCCAGGGGCTGTGACCAGTCTCCGCAACAGGCCCATGATGGGCCAGACGAGGCACCTGGGTCCCAGCCTCAGCGCCTGTCTGCTGATGCCTACGTCCGTGCTCGGCTCCCGTGGCTCATGCTGCGTGGCCAGGAGGAAATCAGCACCTCAGGGTGCTCCAGAACCAGCATGAGCCCTGCCAGGCGTGCGGCCCTGCGGCCGGAGCTGCTCTGCACAGCACCCGGGGGCCGAGCTGCTCCTGCTTGGGAAACGGCCCCTCTGTTCAGACACCAACTCCCCAGACACACACTCGCTGCCTGCAGTGAAAGAACAAAGCCCGTCAGACCTAGCAGCGACAGTGGGGATGGGGCAGGGGCTGGGAGTCAGGACACCTAGGTTTTATCCCCAGCTCTGGGAGGGCAGTGGGGTCTAGTGGGCCCAGGCTCCTGTGGGGCTATTCCTGGCTCTAGGGGAGGAAGGGAGTCTAGTGGGATAGAGCAGGAGACCAGAAGTCCTGACTTTACCAATCACTGAGTGACCTGCATCAGGGCTCAAGACATGCCTCAGTTTCCCCTTTGCATCACGGGGTCAGGATGCAGACGGCCCCTGTGAGAGAAGGATCAATATTGCACAGCCCTGGGAACGGGGGCCGGGGCCGTTGTGCGCTGCTTGGCTAGAACCACCCCCGATCCCCCGGCGCGCTCCCCGCCCACGCAGGAGGGTTGCCTCCACTGGCTGCAGGAACAGAGCACTACTGTGCCGGGGCCGCACAGTAAGGCTGCCTGGGAGCACAAGCGGGGCCTTGTGTCTGCTCCTTGTGCACACGGCTCCTGGGCCTGCCACCCCCAGGAGAGGGGCTGGACAAATACAGGCCAGGCCCTGGGAACCTGGGAGGGGAGACCCAACACATCCCCTCTCCTCCCGTCCCTCCACCAACCAGACCGTGACAGTGCACAGGAGAATCCAGGCTCCAGGGAAGGGGGTGTCTGCCCAGGCTCGGAGGGAGCCCATTTCCCTGGGGGCTGAAGGCAAGGGGGCCCCCCCTCTCATCAGCCTGTCACTAGGGCAGCTAGGCAAATGGGGCAGCTCCGCACTCACCCGCGAGCAGGGCTCCAGGGCCGCTGTTCTGCCTCCTGCTTCGCGTCCCAGCCCCCGAGTGTCTCCTCCTCCCCGCAGGACACAGATGAGGTTTTCAGCTACGAATATTGAGCTTGCAAAGGGAATACAAACCTGGGAGGGACTCGGTGGCTGCAGACTCACTAGAGCAGTTCACAAGCGTGCAGTGGAGCAGAGCCCAGGTCCCCTAGTCTGACCCCGCGTCTAGCACAGGCTCCGGGAGAGAACGTCCCCAGAACAGCTCCCGGACAGATCTGTAGGAAAACATCCAACCGGGATTTCAGAATAGCCAGTGATGGAGAGTCGACCGCTTCTCTGATCCCTCTCCAATTTATCAACATCCTTCCTGAAGCACCAGAACTGGACACAGGATCCAGCAGCCATTGCACTGGGCCAAATACAGAGGTAAAATAACCTCCCTGCTCCTCCACGAGGAGAGTCCCCTGGTTATGCCCCCCCCCGGTCCTCCTCCCCTTGGGAGAGCAGCTTTGGTTTGGGCTGGAGCATCTCGATGCCATTGAGAGACTGGGCGCTGGCCAACGCCGAGCAGAGAACTGGTCGTGCTGCCTGTGGCTCCCAGGGTGAGGCAGAGCTGAGAAAACAGGTGGGGTCTGCCAGGCGGGTCCCGTTCCCCTGCCTGTCCCTGGGCACTGGCCATGCCACCATCGCCAGGGCATCACCCACTCTTGAGGGGAACACCTACCCTGTGCTGCTAGGGAACAGCAGGGCAGCAAGAAAAACCCAGGTCAAGCCCATTCCCGCTGGAGGCTGCTCAGCGGTGGCAGGAGCGTGGAGCACGTCAGCGGAAGAAAGGCGCCTGGGGCCAAAGGGGTTAGAGCTGGTGCCAGGGCAGCAGCCAGGGGCAGGGCGCGAAGGAAGGAGAACAGTCTGCTCAGAGCTCCCAGCGAGGTGGCGGAGGGCAGACCAGTGTCGCAAGGGCCAGGAGCAGCGTGAGACCAGTACCTGGAGTACGACTAATCCAGAGAAGCCCGAGGTGAAACAGGCGTTTCCAAGGGAGTTACTAGGAGCTGCAGCTGGAGGGGGCAGGTGAGGATGGGAATTTGCCCACCACCGGAACTCCCCCGCTCACTGAACCCCCAGGCTCTTTCCTGCCTGGAGCTTTGGCACAGGGAGCTGGGAGTGTTGGCTGCCAACGTGCCTGCCTGCATCCCAGCAGCAACGCAATGCACTGCTCCCCCTCTCCTCTGCTCCGCCCGGGCTCCGTATTGCCATGGCTGGGGGGCGGGAGAAGAGCCGTCAGGTCTCTCTCTGGGTGTCCCTCCTCCAGCTCCCCTGCAAGATGTTGCAGCCGTCTGGCTCCTAGAGATCGTCTAGGACAGTGGTTTTCAAACCGTGGGTCATGGAACGTCAGGCACTGGTCACGGCGGCTCTGGTCAGCCGTTAGAAGTCCCGTCGGCAGTGCTGCGGGGCTAAGGGAGGCTAGTCCCTACGTGTCCTGGCTCCGCACCGCGCCCCGGAAGCAGCCAGCAGGTCCGGCTCCTAGGTAGGGTGGCCATAGGGCTCGGCGCGCTGTCCCCGCCCTGAGCACCGGCTCCGCACTCCCATTGGTCGGGAACTGGCCAATGGGAGCTGGGGGGGGGGGACGGTGTCTGCGGGCGAGAACCGCGCAGAGCCACTTGCGCACATCTGCCTCAGAGCCGGACCTGCTGCTGGCCACTTCCAGGGCACAGCACAGTCCGCGGTGCCAGGACAGGCGGGAAGCCTGCCTCTGCACCCAGCTGCACCACTTGAGGTAAGCCCGCGCCCCAATCCCCTGCCCCAGCCCTGAGCCCCCCCAAATCCAGAGCACCTTCCTGTACCCCGGGCCCAAACCCCTCATCCCTACCCTCCAGTGTATCTACCTCTCCCCGCAGTTGTGTGTCATCTGCAAACTTGCTGAGGGTGCAATCCATGCCATCCTCCAGATCATTAATGAAGGTATTGAACAAAACCGGCCCCAGGACCGACCCTTGGGGCACTCCGCTCGATACCGGCTGCCAACTAGACACGGAGCCATTGATCACTACCCGTTGAGCCTGACAATCTAGCCAGCTTCCTATCCACCTTATAGTCCATTCATCCAGCCCATACTTCTTTAACTTGGCAGCAAGAATACTGTGGGAGACTGTATCAAAAGCTTTGCTAAAGTCAAGGAATAACACGTCCACTGCTTTCCCCTCATCCACAGAGCCAGTTATCTCCTCATAGAAGGCAATCAGGTTGGTCAGGCATGACTTGCCCTTGGTGAATCCAGGTTGACTGTTCCTGATCACCTGATCAGCTCTGCAAACGCTGCTTTTTCTCACTCAATGCAAGGCCCTGAAAGATATTAGGAAAGGCCTCATTTTTAAAACTCCCTCCAAAATGCCACCTTCCATTTTTCTCAAGCTTAAAATAGCATCTCCTCTCTCTTCA